TCACCTCTGCTCCGCCCCCTCCCCGAGCCCTGCGGCAGCTCCCCACCCCCCCTGCCCTGAGGCGCCTCCCCCATGGCAGCTCCCCTCCCCTGCCCGGGGAGCTGTGCGGCAGCTCCCCACCCCAGCTCACCTCTGCTCTGCCTCCTCCCCGAGCACGCCGTTGCTGCTCCACTTCTCCCGCCTCCCAGGCTTGCGACGCCAATCAGCTGTTTGGCGCCGCAAGCCTGGAAGGGAGAGAAGCAGAGCGGGGCGGCGTGCTCAGGGGAGGAGGCGGAGCAGAGGTGCCGCCCCCCCCCCCTTACTTGCTGCAGGCGGCCCTCCCCGCATTCCCCTGCCCTAGCTCCCTCCGCCTAAATGCCGACGATGAGCGGGGCGGCCGAAGATCCAGCCACTGCCGTTGCCACCGAAGAAAATGCCACCCCCCAAATGCTAGCGCCCTAGGCGACCACCTAGGTCGCCTAATAGGCTGCACCGGCCCTGAGTGGAAGGGTCAAACCCTGCCCCGGAGTGAAGACTTTGGAGGAAGCCTCCCACAGGGATCCATGCAGAGCTCCTATCGTGAGAGGGGGCTCTCTGTGAGGAAACACTTGGATGCCAAGGGCCTGGGGGACAGGGCCGAGGGCTGCAGGGACAAAGCGTCTCCCCTTTAGGGACCGTGCTGCAGCCTGAGGGACCCTATGAGCTTCGCAGCACAGGGAGTGAGATAGGCCACGTTGCATGGCTTGTGGGGTCTGGAACACAACGCAGCACCCGGTGCCTGGCACCCGGCCCCTTCTGGGCCGGATCCACAGAGGCCATGGTACAGCCCCGGCTCGGCAGGCCTGCATGAGCACTTGGTGCACAGCAAGCTGGGGCGTGGACCTCCAGCGCTGCAGCCTGCCCGCATGGGCCCTGCTGCCGCACGCTCAGCGCTCCCTGGCGCACGCTGACGTCCTGCGGTTTGACTCCGCGGGAGCTCAATGTCATACTGACCCACCCAGGCAGCCCCAAAGGCGGGGACCCTGCCTTCCCCTAACCCACCCCAACTCCCCGGCCCTTCTAACTCCTGAGCCGGCCACTTGAAAGGGAAATCTGCAAAGTGGGGAAACTGAGCTAAATGAGGAGCCAGGTCTAGCTCCTGTCACTCACCCGTGCTGCCCAGGCTGGGGGATCTCCACTGCTCAGCCCCTCGGCCTTCACCTGCAAATTAAAGCCTGGTGCTCAAGAGGCAGCAGTAAAAACGCCTGCTAGGGAACAGAGCCAGGTGTGACCTTACCTCCTGCTGTGCCCTGCACCTTACCCGAAGGGAGGCTCAGCTAACAGCCCAGCTGTCACAAAGCCCTTGGCGTCCCAGAACCTCTCACAGGCTTCAGGAAAGAATGGATCTCTACATGCCACGTGTTGCCTGAGCAACCGCTGCCCCCTGCCAGCTAATGCGCCAACGGAAAATGCCAGCAAACAATGCAGACAAAAGGGATAAACGGTAAGGGCCTGGGCGCTGCTGCTAAGACACCGAAACCCTTTTGTCAACTCGCAGCTGCTGCCTGGCCAAAGTCTTGCCTTGCTCCCAGCCAGTGTGACGGACTCCAGGCTGTGGTACTTGGTCAGCGCCCGCGTCTCTCTGCACTGTGACCTCCAGGCAGCAAGAGCTCCTTTCTAAGAGGCCAAGCAGCAATTCTGGATTTGGCTTGAGGGCCGTTAGTGCTTTTTCTGTGCAGCCAGAGGACGGGCACAAGGGGGGGGCATGGCTGGTCGGGAGAAAGCGGGGCAGACGAAACCGAAGGAGTCGCCAGAGAAGAAGGTCCGGACAAATCTCCTTCAGCACGTGCTCAGCAGGCGAGCCCCTCCTGCCAAGGAGGATACGGTCAGTGTCTCCTGCGTCTCCAGCGCACGGTGTGGGGACAGACTGGAATACAGGCAGCGCTAAGTTGGGAAACGGCCCACGCAGCTGTGGGGAGGTTGGTGCGATGTGGTCTCAGTAAACGCCCCACATCAGGGCTTTGATCTTCCTTTTACTGGCACATGTGGGGCAGGCTGAGCTTGCCAGCGACGGAGGGCTGGGGGTCTTCCTACGCTGCACAGGAATGTGTTAGACCTCAGAACTTCTGCAGGCTGCCGATCCTGGAGCAAAGGTAGGCAACCTATGGCACGCATGCCAAAGGCGGCACGTGAGCTGATTTTCAGTGGCACTCACACTGCCCGGGTCCTGGCCACCGGTCCGGGGGGCTCTGCATTTTAATTTAATTTTAAATGAAGCTTCTTAAACGTTTTAAAAACCTTATTTACTTGACATACCACAATAGTTTAGTTATATATTATAGACTTATAGAAAGAGACCTTCTAAAAACGTTAAAATGTATGACTGGCACGCGAAACCTTAAATGAGAGTGAATAAATGAGGACCCGGCACACCACTTCTGAAAGGTTGCCGACCCCTGTCCTAGAGCATTTCAATCTATGCACAGGGACATGGTTAGAGCCCATCAGCACTGCTCCTTTCACCCTGCTGTAACTGGGGGAGGGGAGGCCCATGCTGTCACCGAGCCCCTGACTTGGGCAGCATTGCTATGTCAATTGGGCTTTGGAGTTTCTCCACTCAGTCATGTCCAGATCCACAAAGGCATTTAGGCTCCTGCGCCCATTGATTTCAGCGGGAGAATCTGTGTCTAGACACTTAGAATCTTTCAGGCCCCAAACCCTGCAGCTCCTTTCAGCGCTAGCTCCTAGAGTCTGTAACTTCTGTACAGCCCAGTTTCTGCCACTCTTCCTCATACTCCATAGTAGTTGCACTGAAGTCTATGAGCTACTCGGGGAGTAAGGGGCAGAGAAGTAACAGCAGAACCTGGCCTCTGCAAATAGCAGGTTATTTGTGGCCACATTATGGCTGCCTCGATAGTAGCTCTGGGAGCTTTTCTGACTGGCATCCAAACAAGCCTCTTTCAAATCCCCTTTCCCAGTTCATGCTGCGTTTCTGTCGCCTCCCAAAGGGTGCAGAAAATGTTTGGTAGCTCAGGAAAGCTTCAGTTTTACAGCCCTTTAAATAGGTAGAGAAATCACAACCCTCTTTAGGGTAACCTGGCCATTTCCAAGGGCGAGATGGCAAATCAAATCACCATCAACCATTCCAAAAGGGACTTTCTCACTTCCCCAGTGCAAAGCAACTGCGCAGTGCTGTCCGGGTACAACAAGGGGTGCACAGGACAAGAAAGCGTTGGACAGGAAATCCGTTAGTCCATCATCACTAACTGCCTGCTGCTACATCTTATCAAGGCAACAATCCAGCACAGCATGTGTGAGATCAGCTCTCTTGGGCAGAAAGTCACTAACTAAGGGCTGCTGCTGGACTGGGACATGGGGCATCTGGGTCCAGCTCCTGGCTCTGCCATTGACTCCCTGCGTGGCCCTTTGGCACGTTACTTAGGTTGAGATTTTCAGAGCTGACTGGGGAACAGACACATCTGGGGTCAGCTCCTGTTCAGTGGCTCAGTCCCTGAGTCATGGTTGAGCACCTTAATCGCTCTGTGCTTCAGTTCCCCATCTGTAGAACAGGAATAACGCCACTTCCTGAGTCTGCTTGTGTGGTTAGACTGTAAACTTGCTGGGGCAGGGGGTGTCTCTCACTATGGGTATATGCAGCGTCTTGCACCAGGGGACCCTGCCCTTGGTCAGGGGTCTCTAAGCACCACTGTAATGCAAAGAGCACTATTCTCGCTCAGCTCACAGCATCTCTGTTTCAATTCAGCCATTTCAAAAAGGAATCAACTGAAATTTACCTTCAACCCCCTTCACCGCCAAGTCACCTTCCCCTGACGGGGGAACTTTAATGTTCTGAGACAGGCGCGTCCAGTCATGAGCTTCCCCAGGCTCCGAATGCTCCCCAGGACCTTTCCATTCCTGCCTTCTTCCCCAGGAGAAGGCGCTTGCCAGAAATGTCAGCAGAAGCCCTCGGTGATGGTTTTGTTGCGAACACTCCGCTCTTTGCAGACACAGGCGGAGTGGCCAGTTTTGTCAGATGCTGCTGAGTGCCTCACAGCTCCCACCAGTAGCCTGGACCTGAGGATCCTCATGGATTAGTTATAGAGCAAATCAAACTCAAGGATCCTAGCCGTACATCCCTATGCACACAGACAAAAGCGCGGTTCAGCATATGGTGCCTCTGTTCGGGAAATTCACACTGATGCAGCGCTGCGTGCCCATTGCACGGGTTCCTCCTGCATGAGTTGAGTGCTGGGGAAAGGCGCTAGCCCACTTGATCTCTCGAAGATGGAAATCTCACAGGAGAGGAACAGGGCAACATTCCTTCCCACAGTGCCAGCGGCCCCGGTATCCCAGCCATGACCTGGGGCACTGCCTCCTGGGATGAAAGGCATGTGCTGATCCCCCAGCCTGCCTGGTGAGATGCCATGGAGGGGGACACATTTGTTGTCTGCAGTGGTAGCATTCTGGACACATTCCAAGCTATCGTAGGAGCTCCCATATGATTTCCATGGGGATCCTGCACTGGGAGCCCAATGCTTTGGACGCTCGCTGAGGAGCTGGCACAGGTCCTGTGAAACTGACCAAGATCTCCTTGCCTTAGGGGAGAGGCCCATTTGGGAGCTAGGCCATGGGGCGTCAATTCACTTATAAGATCCTTCCCCATGACACTGCAAAGCCAATCCAGGGCTACATGCTCACCTGCCCATCCTACAGGTTGGGCGTGTCCCAGAGAAGAGGGGCACACAGTGGGCAGCCTTAGGATCAGAAGGGACGTCCTAGCTCCCTGAGTCATAGAATCATAGCATGTCAGGGTTGGAAGGGACCTCAGGAAGTCATCTAGTCCAACCCCCCTGCTCAAAGCAGGCCCAATCGCTAGATTTTTGCCCCAGATCCCTAAACGGCCCCTTGAAGGATTGAACTCACAACCCTGGGTTTAGCAGGCCAACGCTCAAACCACTGAGCTATCCCATCCCCTGATACTACATCTCCCCAGGCGCAAGCACCCATGACATTTACAATACATGTGCCAGTCGAACAGACACACGTGGCTCTAAAACACCAGCCTAGGACGGCTCATTTGTAACATTAAGAACCTGCTGGGCGGCACAAAGTCCAGCCCTCACCGGACGCAGCACTGGAGCCCTCCCAAGGGCATGGTATTTCCTGTCCCCTTCCCATTTCTCCTTTCTTCCGTCTCAGTGCCCCATGTGAATAGCCCTCCTCTTCTGCCTGGCGCTGGCAGCAACCTTCCTTTACAGGGCCTGAATTACAGCTGGCCTCTCTCCTCCCCTCTAGAAATCGCTTCTGCACAGGCTGGTATTTCTGGCTAAGATCTCCCCGGAGCTGGCCGACAAACGGGATTTAGCAGGTAAGCGCCTCAGCTTGTTTCTTCAATAGACACATCAGTGGAGGGCAGAGGGGCCTGAAATGGAACAAGGGCCATGCACACACTAGCTCCCGACCACACGCCGCATTGCAGTGTCTGGCCAGAGCTGCCTACGACCAAATGGCTAGGTGACATGCTGTGTTTGAGACACTGTCACGTGAGCCAGCTGCTGGGCTGGCGCCTTCCCCAGAACACCACTCGCTTTCTCCACAGGGTTGGGAAGCTGTGCTGGAGAAGGAAAGACACAGCCTCCTACCCACCCTTCTGTGTATGACCCCCCCCCCCGAGGGCTCCCCGTGTGCAGAGTTATCTGCTGGGGTGCTGTTGCTGGGATGGGATCCCCCAGAGCAGCAGGTGTCAGAGTTAGCACCCCATTGAGATGCATGGGACACACTTAGCATCTCAGGCTCAGGCTGCTGTCATCCACAGGTCACATTTGTGGGCTAGAAAAATGATCATTTCTCTTTTAAAGGCCAAGTGGGAGCCTAATGTCAGCCCATGGGGGCAGAGGGAGGGCCCTGGGCTCAGGCCCATCACGCCCCTGCCTCACTCCGGCCCTACCAGAGGGCAGTGTGCATGGAGAGCCCAGGCTGGACGCTCAGGGATCCGGGGAAGGATGGCTTGGGCCACGCTGCAGACATGGGTGCTGCTGTGCAGGCTGGTGGGGCTCTGGCCCCCATCACTGGGCGAGCCGATTCCAGGCCCCCAGTGAGGGAGGGCGACATGCAGCTTCCCGGAGGAACACGGAGATGCCAACATGCACGATACTGGTTTGCAACCAGCCCCAGACAGCTCAGGAGTTCCCATTCTGATTGCTAGAGGCTGCTATGCCCTGGGTGCTCTGAGTGGGGCAGGGCCCTGGGGCCATGCCGCACAGGGGTCCCTTCCCCCACCCCTATACAGTGCACTGGGCGGGGGGCAAGGGCAGGAGGGATTCTGCAGTCTGGAGAAACAGGCAGCTGCAGGAGCCCGGGGCCGCACTAGTCCAGGGGCAGGAGGGGGCAGGTGGCATCAGCCAGCAAACACTGTGTGGGCTCTGGGTTCTCCACAGGGTACTGGCACCGCCTCTTCCTGAGTCTGCAGCGCTACTACCAGGGCGAGGGGGTCACGGGCCTCCTGCTGCTCTACCCCACCTACGTGGTGCACACCCTGGAGGTACGGGGCATGGTGGGCGTGGGGCCGGCCGGCCCACGGATGGATGGGAACATCAAAGAAAGGGATCGGAAACCGGGGGAGCCCTGCAGGGGTTACGAGATGGCTTAGGATTGTCCTTCGCAGGCTGCATCCAGCTCTGCTCCCCAGTCCCGTTCCTCCCCACCTCACCCCACGTCACCCTCCGTGAAACACTCTGCACCCCGTCTCCCCATCCCTCCCTCCAAACCAGTCACCCTACACTCAGCCTGGCTGGTGGGTGTGTGTGTGTGTGTAGCAACAGGACAGAGAACAGCTGTGGAAAGTGGGAAGCGAGAGCTAGAATCCCCCAAACCTCACTGGAAAACCACTGCAAAACCTTGTCCCCGCCCCAGGCCCCCATCCTCCCCAGCCCCAGATCTAAGGGCCCATTCCTCCTGCCCCCACGCCTGGCAGCTGCGGCTGGCATCTTCGAGCCAAGCTGGGCTAGCAGCCTGGGCAGATTCACTTGTGTCCTCTCACACCTGCACGAGCCGGGGCCACACACCCTCGCCAGTGGGCCCGGAGCCTCCATCCCACCCGCCGGAGTGCAGCCCTGGGCATCTGTCGAGACGTGATCGGGGTGGGGTGGGGTAAGCAGCTAATGCAGTTGCTCTTCTTTCAGGCCTCCAGCGAGGTGCTTTACTCCATCCTGAGGGATCTGCGAGACATGCAGCCCCAGCAGCACAGGTGAGGGCTGGCCAGCCAGTGACTGGAGGGTTTTCAGCTGCCGCAGTTCAGCGTCTTTCACCAAACCCCAGCATGCACATGAGCGAGGACAATGGCAGTTGGGCTGCGTGTGGGGATCAAATCTGGGAACCTCGGGATCTAAAAGCACACTCCTCTGCTGCGATTGGCTGGGAGGCAGTAGCCGACTAACCTGATATTACAAGAGCCAGGGGCTGGAAATTGAAGCTAGGCAAATTCAGCCTGGGATAAGGGATCAGTTTTTAACAGGGGGTGTAATTACTGGGACAGTTTACCAAGGGCCATAGTAGATTGTCCCTCACTGGCAAGTTTTCAAATCAAGAGTGGATGTTTTCCTATAAGATCTGCTCTATGAATTTGGGGGGGGGGGAGCGTTTCTCTGGCCTGGGTCGTACAGGAGGTCAGGCTAGATCATCACCATGGTCCCGTTCGGCTTTGGAATCTCTGAATCTCTGTACAGCTTTACCAGGTACAGCCAGAAGAGGGAGCTGCAGCCACAGCTCTGTGGGCACGGTGCACCCCGGTGGGAAGCATGGCTCCGGGCAGAGGCTGCCAGCTTCCCGCTGAGGGGAAGACGGGAGCCCTATGGGCTGGGAAAAGACACTCTCTGGCGCTCTCTATAGGGGAAAGGGGAAATTGGAGGGTCTGCACCAACCTGCCACCAGGTTAATTTGCTTATTGAGCTCTCTGTCTCCCCCTGCAGATTAAAAGGGGTAACAGAGGTGTTCCTACCTGCTGTCAGGTGTTTGCTTTAGAGCTGGTTGGAAAAAGGTTTTGTAGCTGTGGAAAATTTAGACAGAAAGTTAAAAACAAAAAGTCCACTTTTTGCTGAAACAACAAAATCTTTGGCTGAAAACCAGGCACAGTCTAAATGCAGGGGAAGAGCTGTACTGATGTGAGCACCTTCTTACCAGCCTAATGTGTCCACACCAGGGGCTGGTACTGATTTAGCTATGCCAGGCTAGTGTGGCACCATCTTTGCATGTAACAAGGCCTCAGTAGGCAGGTAGCGACCCTCCTGTTAACCCCAGGGGGTGGCAGAGCCCTCTCTTGCTGTGAGAGGGAACTGATCCACTGCCCTGGCCTAGGGTTACCATACGTCTGGATTTTCCCGGACATGTCCGGCTTTTGGGGGCTCAAATCCCCGTTCGGGGGGAAATCCCCAAAAGCCGGGCATGTCCGGGAAAATCGGGAGGCTCGGCCGGGGCCATTTTGTCCGGGGCCGGG